TGTGTATATATACATATAAACATATATATATACACACACACACATATATACATATACATATATATCTGTATATATATATACATGTTTCTCTTGATGGTGTAGTGGTTAAGGGCTGAACTGCTATTTGAAAAATCAACAGTTTGAACCTAGCAGCAGCTCCACAGGGGAAAGATGTGGCAATCTGCTTCCATAGAGATTACAGCCTAGGAAACCCTGTGGAGGCAATTCTATACTGCCTCTCTCTGTCTCTCTTTCTGTATATAATATGCATGTATTTATCTCTCTCTATGTATATCTATCTATCCATAAAATATGTCTATCTCTATAAGAACGCCCAGTCTTCCTTCTGAGGAACGACTGGTGGGTTTGAACCACCAGCCTTCTGGTTAGCAGTCAAATGCCTTAGGCACTATGCCAAATTCTGGTAGGAAAAAAGTGATTGGGAAAAGGAATGGCTAAGAATATTTCCCAAACTGAAGGAGTTCAGAGAAAAAAAACTTCGCCCAAATCTCTCCTGGAGACATGATGTGTCTCCTGTAATGAGAACGCTGACATTTTTGCTTGGGCAGCCAGAATTTGAACCAAAAATATTGTCTGGAGAAGTTGTGTCAAAAGCTTTCTGGCTTTCCCATGTGTGGGACTGTTGGGACTTGGCCAAAGTCATCTTGCAAGTCAGTAGAGAATCCGTAACAAGAAACTTAGGTCTCTAACAATGAATTCAAGCCATCCTTTCTTTCTGGATCTCTCCAGAGATTTTTTTTCCCCCATAAGTACCTACTGGTTCATTTTCTTAGATTAAGCTGTTTTGGAGTTTCCATGTTGAAACTGCTCTCAAACTTTTAAAAGTGATAAGCTTCTAAGCGCTTTCTTCTAACTTGCTCTGTGCATATAAATAAATAAATACAACTGGCCCTGGGGCTATGAATACATCTGAAAAACCTGGGGCCGTGGGGATGATTTTTCTCAAAACTAAGGGAAAGTGAAAATCAAGGCTAAAGCCAATGTTTCAATAATGCCAGGGTGGCAGATTTAAGACAAGGGCACCTGTGTTCAAACGGGGCCTGTGCAAATGGACAGTCGAGGGGAACATTTTACATACTGTTTTCCTCAGAGGGTAGGTTCCTGGGAGAGCTTTTTTTAAAAAATAATTTTTTTTTTCCTTTGAAAAAAGTTAACCGCAACATAATTAGCTTTGTTTTTGTGTCAGCTTGGGACGCTGTTGATGAGGTACCTAGAGGCCTTCTAGCATAGGTGCCTAACAGCTTAAACTGCATTTAATTATTATTATTAGTCAATGTCAGACTACGTAAATGAAAAGAGATAAAAAAAAAAAAAAGACTCGCTTGCAGCTACATTGCCTTGGCTTCTGATTTCATCACATCTCACAAGCAAGCAGGTTCGGGCTGGGACTTGGCGCATGAAACCTCTAAGGGAAACCACACAACTGGACAGGCTGTAGCAAGTAAGTTGAAAGTTTTCCCCCATGCTGGGGTGGTAGAGGCTTGTCACGCTTTAATTTTCCTCCCCGGTTTTATTTTTAAATCCCAGACTAACTGGCTGACTGACTCCAGGGAAGCAACACAAATAAGGGAAATGGAGTCACACAGAGAGTTGTCTTAAGGTACATAGTCTCTAGTGGGAGGATTCCTTCGCTGATTGTCTGCCTACTGCCTAAAATCTCAAAATGGAAACAGCCCCCAAAGCCTCAGCGAACCGTGGTACCTGGAAGGGACGGGCTGCTTACCTACCCGGAAGCCAGCAGAGAGCAAGGCACAGAACAGGAGGGAGCAGAAGGCAGATGGCCCAGGTTGTGCCTACGCTTCCTACAATCTATTTCATCGACAGGTCAGAATGCAACCAGATGGTTGGCCAGAGGGCAATATATTGGCAGACGGTGCCTTGTTTTTTAGGCATGAGACATCAGACTGTTAGGAACAAGTGCTTGACACTGAGTTAACCCTGGATGTCCAGGAATGACCTGCTTTCTACCTCCTTAGATTAAAAAGACAATGAGCTAGGTGGCCCAGCATGGTCAGAAGACTAGGAGCCTAGCTGCCTTCCAGTCTCTTCTTTCTCTCTTCTTGATCTGCAGAGCATTAAATTGTCCATGGTAAACTACTCCGGGGCAGGGACCATGGTCTACAATGTTCTTGAACTTCCCCACGATGAGTACAGTACTTGTACAGAGAGGAACAGAATTGATGAACTGGCTGGTAAACTGACTCTCTCTCATAGCCCTTGGCCTTCCAGTCTGTTGTAGGATCTTCTTTGGAAGACAACACAAGAGGTTTTGATGGTAGGAGCTGTTGCTCTTTTAAGGGCTACCAGGGAAGGTCCAGGTCATGCAGGCCTTTCATCAATACCATCATCACCATCTTTATCAGTTATATCTTGGTACATAGAAAATCACTCCAAAACTTAGTGCTTCAAGACCACACTTACTTAGCACACGGTTCTATGGGGCAGCACTTTGGATAGGGCCCAGCAGGATAGATCTTCTGCTGGCCTCTGTGGGGCCCACTCATGCATCTGTGGTCAGCTGGTGGCCAATGGTCTCATTCATACATCTGGCAGTTGGTTGGCTGTTGACTACGGGTCTTTCATCATCCATGAAGCTATCCTGGGCTTGTTCCTAAGGTGGTGATCTCATGTGTCAAGGGCAGTACGCAAGGATAAACCCCAGTGTTACAAGAGCTTTACAAGCCTGTTCATGCAGCACATTTGCCAACATTGCACTGACCAAAGGAAGTCACACGATAAACCCAGAATCAAAGTTACATGCAAGGACAGGTATACGGGGGTGAGGGCAGGGGGAGGTAATTAATGCTGCTATCTTGCAAACACATCAATACCGTATCAATGAGATAATGTGATGATACCAAAAAACTCACTGACACTGAGTCAGCTTCAACTCATAGAGACCCCCACTGGGTTTCCAAGGCTGTAAATCTTTAAGGAAGTAGAGTGCCCCATCTACCTCCTGCAGAACAGCTGGTGGGTTTGAACCTCTGACCTTCTGCTTAGCAACCAAATGCCTTACCCACTACACCACCAGAGCTCCTTAATGCTGATAATAGAATTAAAAGCTTCTGACTCCCAGGTAGTGATGCTTTGTTCTCAGGTTTCCAAGATGCTGGAAAGGGCCTCTTGGAACCAGAATTCCTAAATTGGGTCCCTGTTTTTCTAATTTTCAGGTCTCTGTTTCCTCATCTGCTAATTGGGGATAACATCCATTTCACAGGGTTGTTGCCAGGATCAACAGGGGCTAAAAATAACAACTGTTGATTGTGATGCTTCCTCAACTGTAAAATGGGTTCCCAGTTTCTCAACCCACCTACTCATCTCCATGACATGTGTTTCTGCACGTGTGGACAGTTTATAATTGGCGGTGCATGAGAAGATTTTGGTGGCACAGGAACATCACCTTGAATAACACTGACTACTGGGGTCAGATTTGCCTGCCCTCGGTAATTCTTTCAATCTTTCCTCTTTAGAAAAAGCCTCAGTTTGATGCCATATTCTTTAACATCTCCCTTGACACTTGCAAAGCATCACAACCAAGCCACTATTTAGAATTAAATTGTTGTTATGTGCCATTAAGTTGGACCTGACTCATAGCGACCCCTCCTTGGGTTTTCCAGGCAGTATCACTTTGGAAGTAGATTGTCCCATCTTCCTTCTGAGGAGTGGCTGATGAGTTTGAACTGCCAGCCTTCTGGTTATTAGTCAAGTGCCTTAGGCACTACGCTATCAGAGGTCCCTAGAATTCAATACCACATCTTATTTTTTAATGTTTACATTTGCTTTCTGTTTATGACAACTGATACTTTAAAAAATAAGTAAAAAGTTACTTTAAAACAATGCTAAACTAAACACCAAAACCATTGCCATTGAGTCAATTCCCACCCCTATAAGACAAAGTAGCATTTCCAAGGCTGTAAATCTTTATGGAAACAGGCTGTCTCATCTTTCTCCTACCAAGCAGCTGGTGGGTTCAAACTATAGGCTGTTTGGTTGGCAGCCAAATGTGTTAACCACTGCACCACCAGAACTCCTTAAAAGCAATGCTAAGTGCATAATAATATAGAGTTCATTGATTCATGGGCTCAACAAATATTTATTGAGCACTTACTATGTGCCATTAGGTCCCTGGGTAGCACAAACAGCTTGCACTCTGCTATCTAATGGAAAGGTTGGCAGTTTGAACCCACCCAGTGGCAGCAAGGAAGAAAGGCCTGGCAATCTGCATCTGTAAAGATGAAAACCAGTTGCCTTCTAACCCGTTCTAATTCATGGAGACCCCATGTGCGCAGACTAGAACTGCACCCCATCGGGATTTCAAGCTGTGACCTCTTGGGCGCAAATCACCAGACCTTTTTTCCAAGGTGCCTCTGGGTGAGTTCAACCTCTAGCCTTTCCTTTTGTACCCTACTGCTTAACCTTTTGTGCCACCAGTGAAGATTACAGCCAAGAAAACCCTATGGTGCTCACTTCTCCCAGTAACACACGGGGTTGCCATGAGAGGGAAATGACTTGTTGTCAATGAGTTTGGTTATTTATTTATCATGTATCAAGTGTTGTACAAAACGCTCATCAGGGAACAAAGCAAATTTCCCTGTACTTGGGGAGCTGCCATTCTATGGTAGGAGTAGTGATGGTGCAAGGGTACTTGGATTTGGAGACTTGCTTTTTGCCGCGGGGGCGCAAATCCCCCTCCCGCGCGCAGAGGAGTGATTCTGGGGTCAGGATAATATGCCGGCTGGGATATACACCACAAAGGCCTGGTGCAGGGTCCCGACCAAGGGCCGAGGTCTGGGCGCCTGGGCCGCGTAGGGGCCGCAGGTGCGCGCAGGCGGGGAGGCCCCGTCGGACCCAGCTGCGGCCCGGGCGGTGGCTGCGGTCCCGGCGGCCGCGGCTCCTCCTCCCCTTCCTCCCGCGGAGGCTGACGTTGAATCAACAACGCGGGCAGAGGCGGCGGCGCGGCGGTTCGGAGGCGCCGGGCCCTCTCCGGGCCGCGCGGGGCCAGGGTGGCGACGGCGGCGCGGCGGGAGGAGGAGGAAGAAGAAGTAGAAGAGGGCGTCCATGAAGCCGGCGCGTGCATGGAGGAGACCATGAACGGCGACCGGACCGAGAGCGACTGGCAAGGGCTGGTGAACGAGGTGAGGCCGAGGCGCCGGCCAGGCAGGCTGGGCCGCCCTAGCAGCCGCCAGCCCGGGACCCGCGCCTCCAAGCCCTCGCGCGGCTGTGCGCGCGAAGGGAAGCGCGGGGTACGCGCACCCGGCGGCCACGGCGCGCTGTCACCGCGCAGTCCGCCAAGTGCTCGATACTTCCCGCACTTTCCGGTCCCTCCGGGTGCCCCTCTCTTCCACGCCGTCCGGTGCCGGTCTCCGGGAGGGGCCTTACCTCCAGGTAGGGTTTGGCCCCGGATTGGAGAGAGCTGCGAAGGGATCCGGGACTGGAGCCAAGTCCCACCTGCCTTCCTGGTCACCACTGTTTTGGAATTAAGCGATTGGGTGCTTGGTGCTGAAACAGAAGGGCGGTGCCTTGGAGGAAAATCCGGGCCCTGCGGTGACACCCGCGCCAAGTGGAATTACCTGCTGTGGGGGTTTGGGCGGAGGAGTACCGTGCCCTCCGTGGCCGTGCATTCATTCTCTTAGTTCAATCAACACGTGTTTACTGCAGGCCTACTGTGTGTATGGCGGCAGGCCATTTATCAAAGTCGTGAAACACAGGTGCACAAGTGATTCAGTTTGTAGAAGCAGAGAACACCACGTCCCAAACTGTTTATCTTGGCCATGATTGGGCGCCACCCATTGTTTTCTTCCTAAGATAAGC